TGGAGAATCAGAGCTGTACAGTGTATGCCATTGTTTAATACCTGTATGTTGTAGGACCCCCTCATTCTGTCATCACTGTTGTCTTGTATATCAGCTTTATTTCCATTTGTGAATGGAGCACCAGACAAACTGCCAATGGTTCTTGAAAAGGTGAGAGTCTAATCAATGTAGAAGATTTTATCAAACATTAATGTAAATGTACAGTTATAGAACTTAGAATGTTCATGACATTGTATAAGTATTTTCCTATTTATATTCTTCAGACAAACATGGAATTACATTGTTAGCTCATTCCTCAAAACTGTTCTAAATTCATTTTGCAATATATTTTAATGATATTCTAAAGAAAAGTACAAATGACTGGGTATTTTCAGTAATAATAAAATCCTGGCCTACTTTTATGTATTAAGGTGTGATGTTGATGAAATTGCAAGAACTGGTGATTTTCTCCTTCAGATATTTTCTGCTGTGACATTCAACTTGCCTGGCCAGACTAAATCTACACGTAGTAAAGCGGTGAAGAATGTCCGCCAGCATGCCTGCTCCATCCTGGTCAAGATCTGTAAAGTGTACACAGATCTTCTGTTTGTATGTCTGCTTAACTTTTTACACAATGCTGAATCTCATTCCGATTATAAACCTCCAGAATCTCCTTTTTATAAGTTTTGGATAAAACGAAATTACCAAAGAATCTGATGTAGAAATAATTCAATGCCTATATTTGAACCCTCTTGTAAGAAACATAAGTAAACATGGTCAATAGTTTGGGTTTGAACATATTTGTCTCAACTTTGACATTGAAAATCTCCAGTAACTTGAGAAAAGAGTTGCATAAGATTCCCCATTATAATAGCTTATACTACAGTAAGAAACTTAAGTCTTGAAGCTTATTTGATGCAGTTTTACTGTACAGGAGTTGAATGCTGGTGACTCTGCCAGCTCTGTTGGCTTTACAATAATTAGTTTACTTGTTACATAGGTAAATATTTTTCTCTGATGTAGTGTTGTAAATGTGATGCAGATGTTGTAGTATACATGTATTTGGTGTTTGCATTAACAGCCCGTGTTTGACAAGCTATACAGCCACATACAGGTGATCAGCCGTGACACAGAGCAACTCT